ATGCAGGGAGCCAGGAGTGCAGAGAACCAGGAGTGCAGGAAACAAGGGATGCAGGGAGCCAGGAGTGCAGGAAACAAGGAATGCAGGGAACCAGGAGTGCAGGAAACAAGGAATGCAGGGAGCCAGGAGTACAGGAAACCAGTGACTAAAACAAACCATAAGTGCAGGAAACCAGTAAGGAAAGGAAACCACTAAATAAGGGAAACCAGTAGTACAGGAAACCACTAAGAGAAGGAAACCAGTAAATGCAGCAAAGCAGTAGCACAGAAACCAGTAAGTGCAATAAACCAGTAAATGCAGCAAATGAGGACGTGCAGGAAACCAGTAAGTCCAACAAACCAGTAAGTCCAGAAGACCAGTTTGACAACCCAGTGAGTGCCCTGAGCAAACAGAGCCATCCCCGAGGGGGAGGAGGCTTTGGAGAAGGGCTGAAGTGCTGCTGGTCACTCCTGGATATTTATCTTGATTATTCTGGGCAGGGGGTATTTTCCTCAAGCCTCTTTTAAGGGGGAGTAGCTGTTCTAAATTGCACCATTAAAAATTCATCTGTAAGCTGAGTGTACATTCCAAATGCTCACCATCCAAATTTATCTTTGAAATGGAGCAGTGGATGGGAAAAGTGAGGTTTGGGACTAATATTTTGACATAATGAATATGCAGCAGTTGAAGGGGACTTTCCATCATCCCTTATCGTTCAAAAACAGGCTAAAAAAAAAATACTTTTTTTGGGCTTTTTTTTAAAAAAGAAACATGTTTGTTCACTGAGTGTTTTGCAGCCAGGCTGCCTGGAGCTGAGGATCACAGACATTCCTAATAATGCCGTGGGTTTGTACCACCAGGAGCTGAAATCTCTTTAAAATTCAACTGTTAAAAATACTCTATTGAGTTGTACCTACGCTGACTTTTCAAAGCTCTTGAATGGGTTGATTTAAGGATAGAATAACAATCAAATGAAGAAAAAATGGCTTTTTTTTTTTTTTTTAACGCCCAATGGGAAAGTAATTTCCCATTGAAACTTGCCATTGTAGTGAGAAATAAAAGGCACTGTTGGGTTCCCAGTTAAATTATGGCAAAATAAAGTGAAGTGTGGGTTTACAGCGAGGAAAGAACTCGTCTAACAAGTGTCAAATAACGTGGGTTTGTGCCACTTTGTCAGGCTGCAAAACAGAGCTATGAGACAGTCATAAAACAGTTATTAAAACACCTGATTTTTGCCAAGGTGGCCTCAGTTTCTATGGCAACAGCAGTTCAGGGGCTGGGAATTCAAATTCCTGCTTGGCTGTTCCAGCTGCTGCCGGTGGAGCAGCAAAGGGGATTTTGAGCCCCAAAGCAGCAGGAATGGGCAATTTTTAAGCCCTCAGAAGTGCATTTTCAGTAATTTTTTTTCCTTTTTAGTGGAGGTTTAGGCAGGATTTGAACCATCCCACCTGGCAGGGCAGCAGGGGGGTGAGCAGGCTCCTCCTCAGCTCAAATCCAAGGAAAAATGATGCTCCAAACTCACTCTGCAGTACAGGGCAATCTAAATATAAGGAGGTTTGAATAGGATTTCCCTCAAATGCTTTTCACACTTACACTTAATATATAATTTAAAATCTCATTATACTCCTTGTAATTATTGTATTGTCACCTTCTTTGGGGAGGGTGATATATTTACAATTTTCAACAAATAAATACATTAAAATAAATCAATACCTGTATTTGAATGCACAGAAAATGTACTTTCTGCTGCTGGAAATACGATTTTTTTTTCTGCAGAAATGTGGCATTTACAGACAGTTCTTTCAAGGAATATTTCACCTTTTTTCTTCCTCCAGATCAGGAATGTTGAAACCAACCAGTGTTTGGACAACATGGGTCGCAAGGAAAACGAGAAAGTGGGATTTTTCAACTGCCATGGAATGGGAGGAAATCAGGTAAAGCAGGGAAAAAGAGAGGAAAGGTGTGTTATTTGTGAAATAATTGGTTCAGAGTGGTGTGAGAGCTGAAATGTCACCCAGGTAGGGCTGGGGGCTTGTCCTGGGCACCCTCACTGGTCCTTGGTTCATGATGAAAAATATTAGTGAAAAATATTAGTGAAAAATAGCTGTATAATTTTTATATTAAAACATAATATTTTATAGAAAACATTATGTTTTATATAAAAACCTATATTTTATGGACACATTTTTAAATTTAAAATATTTAAATTTTATTTCATATGCAAATAATATAAAAGAATCAATGAACATTCCAAAATATTTTGCATTTGGGTCAGAAGAATTTTAGGACTACTCAGCCATTTCTTTGAGCCGTTTATTTTATCTTATTCTATTTTATTTTGTCATATTGGCCATTTCATGTAATTCCAGCTCTTGAGTTCTGTCTCTGATGTCTGGAGTGTTTCTGTGGGCTGCAGTGGATCTCTCCCAGTTTCCCTCCTTGGTGCTGAGCACCAGGCCAAAAGAATTCCTGGCACTGCTGGTTGGAGGTTGAGGCAACAGCAGAACGGGTTTTATAGGAATTTTCCAAAATGTGAAGATTGTGCAGCCCTGGCAGGGGCTGGAACCCCCATCCCTGGAGGAATGTTTTACCTGTCACGCTGGGATGTGTGAAATGCATTCTTTAATTAGCTATAAATGCATTCTTTAATTAGCTATAAAATGCATTTTGTCCTCACCTTCTATTTTTAGGTGACATTAATATCGTTGTCTCTGTAATTAGTGTGGGTGGGAATTTTACATCAGCTTAATTAGCATTCAGTTTTCTTCTTAACGTGGTGACTTTCCCAAACCCAGCTTCCTTAATTGCCAGTTATCCGTGGAATCAGAGAATCCCAGAATGGTCGGGTCGGAAGGGACCTTAAAGCTCATCCCATTCCAACCCTGACACCTTCCACTATCCCGGGTTGCTCCAAGCCCCATCCAGCCAGGCCTTGGGCACTTCCAGGGTTCCAGGAGCAGCCCCCCAGTCTGGAATTCTGTGACCCTCTGTGGCTCCATCCGTGTGTTCCAGGTGTTTTCCTACACGGCCGACAAGGAGATCCGCACGGACGACCTGTGCCTGGACGTGTCGCGGCTCAACGGGCCCGTCCTCATGCTCAAGTGCCACCACATGAGGGGCAACCAGCTCTGGGAGTACGATGCCGAGGTACCCGGGGGGGTCGGGGACAGCTCGAGGGACGGGGGTGTCCTTGGCAGAATCCTGGGATTGTTTAGGCTGGAAAAGCCCTCCAAGGTCACAGAGTGCCCCCTGTGCCCGATGCCCACCTTGTCACTGAGTGCCACGGCCAGGCCTTCCTGGGACACCTCCAGGGATGGGCACTCCAAACCTCCCTGGGCAGCCCCTGCCAAGGCCTGACCACCCTTTCCAGGAGGAAATTCCTCCTGATGTCCAACCTGAGCCTCCCCTGGCACAGCCTGAAGTCGTTCCCTCTCCTCCTGTCCCTTGTCCCCTTAAGAAGGTGGCAAATGAGATTCAGGAAACTCAAGCTGTGAAAATGTTGTAGGTTGAAAATAAGTCGTTTTAGGTCAAATCCTGAAAGTACAAAGAGCACTTTCCACTCTCCATGGTTCATGGAATCAGAGAATCCCAGAATCCCAGAGTCATTGAGGTTGGAAAAGCCCTCCAAGATCATCAAGTCCAACCTGTGACTGATCAAAGCCCAGCGCACTGAGTGCCATGGCCAGGCCTTCCTGGGACACCTCCAGGGATGGGCACTCCAAACCTCCCTGGGCAGCCCCTGCCAAGGCCTCACCACCCTTTCCAGGAGGAAATTCCTCCTGATGTCCAACCTGAGCCTCCCCTGGCACAGCCTGAGGCCGTTCCCTCTCCTCCTGGGGCACAGCCCTGTCCCCTGACCTGGCACAGGGTGTGCTGGGGGTGTCTCCTGCCACACCACAGCCTTGGCAGGGCAGGGCAGGGCAGCCAGCAACCAGCTTTTAAGCTGCATTTTAATTTTCCATTAATTTTCCATATAATAATTCCCTACATTTTCTTTTTTAGAGGGGTAAAAAAGCCAGTTATTGCTTGAAAAGGCTCGTTTCCAGCAGCTGGTGTTGTGCTTTCTTACCAAATCAAAGAAGTATTTTGCAGTTTTTAAATAAATGAAAAGCATATATTCATATTCATAATATTTATTTATTATATTTTATTAACTAAGATCTTTCTTTAGTTGTATTTCATTAAACAAGATCTATATTTTTAGTTATATTTCATCAAACAAGATCTATTTTTTTACTTGTATTTTATTAAACAAGATCTATATTTTTAGTTATATTTCATTAAACAAGATCTATTTTTTAATTATATTTCATTAAACAAGATCTATTTTTTTAGTTATATTTCATTAAACAAGATCTATTTTTTAGTTATATTTCACTAAACAAGATCCTTTTTTTTTAGTTATATTTCATTAAACAAGATCTGTATTTTTAGTTATATTTCATCAAACGAGATCTATTTTTTCAGTTATATTTTATTAAACAAGTTCCTATTTTTTTAGTTATATTTCATTAAACAAGATCTATTTTTTTTTTTAGTTAAAGTCTTTTCAGCTTATTTCTGTTGGCTCTTAAAGATAGTAAGATAAGAAACGTGGTGGGCTATGGTGAGGTTGAAAAATTGATACAAAATATGTGTAAATTTATCAGGATTTTATGACCAAATAATCCTTCTTTTTAAGTTAGACAGGAGACAGCAGATGAAAATCAAAATTCCTTCATGGAACAGAAGTCGCTGCAATAATTGATTTTTAACCAGTTTTTAATTGGTTTAAATAGACATTAAGGGCCTGCCCAGAGGCTGAGGATGTGGAATTGGGGTCACAGATTCCAGATCCATCCCCACCTTAAAATTCCAGGTTTTCACACTCTGAAGTTGGGAGATTCCAAGTTCAGCTCAGTGATACCTCGAGGGATAAACTGAAAAAAATGTTGATTTAAAAAATACATTATCCTGGCATCTCTCCATGGCTGCAAGAGTAGAACAGTACTGATGGATTTGAGACATACAATCTTTTAAAAAGTATTTCCAGCATTTCCCAGCAATGGCTCTTTCCCCTTTTTCTGCCTGGAAAACTGGAATTTTACCAACCAAATACAGCCCTTTTGAGGCAGGGAACAGGCTGTTTTTTCTCTTAAATTGAGTGTTTCAGTCCCACAGTGGAGAGTTTCTCAGGAGCTGTGTAAAACCCAGCTCAGCCATGAGGTGGAGCTCACAAAACAGAAATACTCCGGGTTTTTACAGCGGGATCTCCCAGGGTTTGCTGCTTGTTCTGCTGTGGAACAGCCCATTGATTTCTATACCTCTGCATTTATTAACAAAATATTTTCCGTGTCAGTTTTACTCTCAGTATTCAGACTTTAGCTTCCCTTCTTCCCTTTCATTTCAGTATTGCTAATTGTTATGTGTTTATTAGTGTATTTTTAGGCTCCAAACATACCTAATATTCACTGTTTTTTTCCGGAGAAAACAACCAGCTTGTGATATTTTAATATTTTTTCCCAAATAGTTAGAAGGCATTGCCTGAATCCCTCATATCCATTAACTTGTTTTTTTTAGTGAAATTAATTATTACCTTTGTTTGCCTATTCAGGACTTGGCTGGAGGGGATTTTGGGTGTTTATTCTGTGGTTTCAGACCATATCCCTCCTCCTGCTGAAGGTATTCAGGAGTTAAGGCTTAAAACGGACAACAGGGATGGGGATGTGAATAACCACTAAAATGGATTTCTCAGGACTGATTTTCAGGCAATTTGTATTGATTTCTTGCTGCTGTTAAATGTCTGATAACGTTCTAGTTTAGTTTAATGGATGATATTTAAATGTATAATACAGGAGCAGCCTGATCCAGTGGAAGGTGCCCCTGCTCAGGGCAGGGGGTGGAACTTTATGAGCTTTGAGGTCCCTTCCCACCCAAACAATTGTGTCATTCCATGATTCCATGATATGGTTCCTGCCCTTTCCCAAGCTGCCCGTCCCTCCCAAGGGCAGCTCCATCCCACACCTCTGGCAGTGGGATGTGCCAAGTAGGATTTGTCCAAAGGCTCCCTGTCAGCATTTTTACATCATATTTATAATGGAGAAATGTGTTTGCTTTGGAATGGGGTGGGAAATGAGGAGGGGGATCAGCAGAAAAGATCTGGGAATTCTGTTCAGGCTGGAGCCAGAGTTGCTCCATCAGTGCCTGGCCTTGCTCATCTTGGGAATTTGGGGTTTTGGTTGTTTTACCCCACATGGGGCCCTGGTCTGGGTGAAGATATTCCTGCAGGAGCAGCTGGTGTTTGGCTCCAGATGAATCCATGGGACTGAGGTGGAAGCACGTGGAGCATGTCCAGGTCTGGATCCTGGTGATTCCCAGTTGTGTCTCCCTGGGACTCCTCCGGATTTGGAGTGTGAGGAAATTCTGGGACACAGCACACACCAATGAACCCAGGGAAAAATAATGCTATGAATATGTCACAGCTGATGGGAAACACTTTGTTTCCTCGTGCATGAGTGGTGACACCAGGATATATTCCTGATGGATTCCTCAGGATTTATTGCAAGGCTGCCAGAGCTCCAGGAGGGTTTGGGTAATGCTCTCAGGGACGGGGTGGGATTGTTGGGGTGTCCTGTGCAAGGCCTGGAGTTGGACTGGATGATCCTTGTGGGTCCCTTCCAACTCAGATATTCCATGGTTTGATCCTGCGTAAGTACCCCTGTTTGTCCCCAAACACTGTGTCTGTGCCAAGCTCTGGAATTTCCATTCCTGGAGAGTCGAGGGGCCTCACACAAAATGTTTGTTGACTCACGGACTCCAATTTCCTTTTGTTTCCCCTTCCATCAGTACTTTGGGAAATGGGAATATAGCTTTGAGGTAAGTTTGGTACCAACTGTGACCCCTGACCAAATCCCAAACCCTGGAATAGCGTCTCCCTCCTCCTCCAGCAGTGCCTGTAGAAGAGACACCTCTTAGTGCCTTCCCATAGATGCTCCAACTGCCAGACCTTCTTGACCAGCTGCTCTGGAGCCAGGCTGGGAGACTTGGGAGAGAGGAGAAGGCTCCAGGGAGAGTTGAGAGCCTAAAGGGGCTCCAGCAGAGCTGGAGAGGGACTGGGGACAAGGGATGGAGGGACAGGACACAGGGAATGGCTTCCCACTGCCAGAGGGCAGGGAGAGATGGGATATTGGGAAGGAATTGCTGGCTGTGAGGGTGGGGAGGCCCTGGCCCAGGTTGGGCAGAGAAGCTGTGGCTGCCCCTAGATCCCTGGAAGTGTCCAAGGCCAGGTTGGACGGGGCCTGGAGCAACCTGGGCTGGTGGAAGGTGTCCCTGCCCATGGCAGGGGGTGACACTGGGTGGGATTTAAGGTCCTTTCCAACCCAGAGCATTCCATGTAGCAGAGAAAAGTCTACTCAGATTACCAAGATGATGCTTGGCCTTGTTTTTACCCCTGAACAATCCACTGACTTTAGGGATTTGATATAATACAAACGTGCAACACAGAGATTCCCAAGTAATTTATTTATGTGCCTCTGTTTTCCCTGAAAAGAATCCCAGACAGAAGGCACAGGGAGCAGTGATACATAATGGAACAAACCCAACAGTGATGTTCACTCGAAGTGGCATTATAAGGACACTTGTCCTTGATATTTTTAGTGGCCTCTTTATACTCACACCACTTTTTCCCTTATCAAGCCAAAAACATGGAGAGGGAATGGGCAGGAGGAGCATCTCCAGCTGCCCTGGCAGCACCAGCCCTGGGGAACCTGCAGTGATGGGCAGAATTTAGGGGAGTAGAAGCTCCCCTCCATCCCAACCCACCTGGTGTTGGCACCAGGAAGGAAAAGCTGGAATTGTAGTTGGGGAAAAAAATTCCTTATCTCATATGTGAATGTTTAATTCATTGTATTTTTAATTTGATGACTCTCAAATGGGCTCAAATGGCCTCCAGAGGAGACCACAGAGATGCACCCAGAGCTGGAGCCCCTCTGCTCTGGAGCCACGCTGGGAGAGCTGGGGGGGTTCACCTGGAGAAGAGAAGGCTCCAGGGAGAGCTGAGAGCCCCTTGCAGGGTCTAAAGGGGCTCCAGGAGAGCTGGAGAGGGACTGGGGACAAGGGATGGAGGGACAGGACACAGGGAATGGTGGTTGGTGCAGGGCATTAGTGCAGGAGGAAGTTCATCTCTGCCCAGATCCTGCTGTGCAGTGGGAATTGGGGATTGGGGGTGAGGCAACAACAGGGGGGGGGCAGATCCAGAGGCACCCTCGGCTCCAGATCATGGGATGTGAAGTGGAGGAGTCTTGTGTGAAGCTGAAGCCTGGTTCATGCATATCCCTGTGGATACCCCTGTGTGTGCCTGCAGCGTTCCCAGCCATTTGTTTGTTCATCAGCCATTTGTTTGTTCCCCTGTTTGTTCCTTTGCTGTTCCCGCTGCCCGCTGGGGGTGGCACCGACCCCCTCCCTGCCTTTGCCCCTGCTTGTCCTTGGGTTTTGTTGACTTTTGCCCGTGTGTGTGCCCTGCAGACCCACACCTTCCTGCACGTGATCACCCAGTCGTGCCTGACCCTGAGCAGGATCGAGGACGGCTCCCACGGCCCCACGGTGGAGGCCTGCAACGGGAGCCCCCTGCAGACCTGGATCCTCAGGAACTACTCCCGCCTGGAAGTCTTTAGGAAGGTTTACTACAGCCCCACCGACTATTTCCTGTAGCTCCCAGGGGGAGGTTGGTACAGCAGCAAATACAGGACTCAGTGCTTGGAGCTGTTCCCAAAAAAACTGCACCTCTGTCTTGTTTTACTGCCACACAAACCAAGTCAGCAGATTGCTCCAGAATAGCATAGAATAGATGTTTAATGCTAGTTCAGCTTAGCCCTTATTAGTTCTTAGTGGTTACCATTAGTTATTAGTAGTTTTAGTCTTAGCTATTATTAGTTATAAATAATTTCATATGAATTCAAGTGCCTGGATCTCCTGATGTCGATGTGATTGTTACTATCTGCAAGAGCTGAAGATTCGGCCCCTCTTCCAAGACAGAAAAATAAGGCCAATTGCATCATAGTTTTCAAAAACCTGCATTTTTCATGTAGTTCATAGATTTTAATAGAATTTTCGTAGAACTTTTGTAGAATTTTATAGAACTTTCATAGCATTTTCATAGAATTTTTCACGGAATTTTTCATAGAATTTTTTGTAGATCTTTTCATACAATTTTTCATGGAAGTTTTCATAGAATTTTTCATGGAAGTTTTCATACAATTTTTTGTATTTTTTTTCATAGAATTTCGTGGAATTTTTTTAAGCTTTGTTATAGATTTTTTCGTAGCAGTTTCGTAGAATTTCATAGAATTTGCGTAGACTTTTTCATAGAATTTTCACAGAATTTCATAGAGTTTTTCATAGAATTTTCATATGACTTTGAAATTTCCTGATTTAAACAATGAAATTCCTGATTTCCAGTAATTGAATCCTAGAGGTGTTGGTGACAGAGAATTTCAAGCTATCAATAGGTAACCTGGGTCAGGTTGGGCTGTTTTGGTGTTAATTCATCTTCCCTCCCCTGTCCGGGAGGCTCCAGAATTTTCCCTCCCATCCTTGTTCCCCTGTTTGTTCCTTTGCTGTGTTTGGTTCCCCAGTGGATGATCTCAAACAAGGTTTCCGTCCTGGAATTGCCTGTTCCCGTGGCTGTTGGTGTTGGGGCAGGGTCACAATCCTTGTGGAGCTGCTGGGGAGAGTCCAGAGGAGGCCACGGAGCTGCTCCCAGGGCTGGAGCCTCCCTGGAGCCAGGCTGGGAGAGCTGGGGGGGTTCCCCTGGAGAAGAGAGGGCTCCAGGGAGAGCTGAGAGCCCCTGGCAGGGCCTAAAGGGGCTCCAGCAGAGCTGGAGAGGGACTGGGGACAAGGGATGGAGGGACAGGACACAGGGAATGGCTTCCCACTGCCAGAGGGCAGGGACAGATGGGATATTGGGAAGGAATTGCTGGCTGGGAGGGTGGGGAGGCCCTGGCCCAGGTTGGGCAGAGAAGCTGTGGCTGCCCCTGGATCCCTGGAAGTGTCCAAGGCCAGGTTGGACGGGGTTTGGAGCAACCTGGGCTGGTGAAAGGTGTCCCTGCCCAGGGCAGGGGGTGGCACTGGATGGGATTTAAGGTCCCTTCCACCCCAAACCAACCCTCCAGAACCATCCAGCTCATTCCCAACCCCCAGCACAGCACTGCTGTGCTCCCCAGGGTGTTCCAGGGTGTGGCCTCCCCAGCTGTGTCCAGATGTGCAGCTGCTGACCTGCCGTGGGTGGAAGAGCATTTCCTTTGCACCTGACTTAGCTTTCCGTGGTTTTTAGGAACTGCAAGACCTTTTCTGAAATATTAAACTGGGAAATGCAGCATTTCTTAGCAAAAGGCTCGAGGAAGGTGTTAACTGCTGGGATTCTGTGTGTGAAACCCCTGGATCAATCCAAGGAGTGCTGGAGGGAACACCCTGAGCTCAGCTGGGACTGGACCTGTCTTTTTTCATTTAAATACACAACTTGATGTTTAGCTTCCCTGCATCTCTCCAGGAACTTGTTCTCCCAATGCTTTCAAACAGATGATTTATTCCTTCAGAATAAGTTCTGTCTCCTTCTAATGTCCCCATCCCTCAGAAATACGACATGGTGGGAGCAGAAGGGGGTGGGTGTCCCAAAGGAGGAGAAATGTGTTAAAACACCAGAGTTTTCAGGTAATGTATTTCCCCCAGCAGCAACTTCTGCACTGGCAGAGCTCTGCTCTGAAAGGTTTCCGTGTCGCTGGAGAGTCAACTCCTTCACCTGAAGTGCTGTTGCTTTGGAATAGTATTTTCTGGCACTTATTTTGCCCTTCCCTGTCCCGTTTTCCCTGGCTGGGTGCAGCAGAGGGGGCAGGGTGTCCTGGCTCTCTGTGAGGAGGTGAGTGGGAGCAGTGTGGTGGAGCTGTCCTGGAGCCCCACGAGGGATCCCGCGGCCGGTGCAGCGACTCAAACGGGACTGAAATAAACCCCCAGATGCCTTTACGATTCCCAGCAGTAATTCCCTGTGTCTCCTCCCTTGCAGAAGCTCACCCTGAGGCACGTGAACAGCAACCAGTGCCTGGCAGAGCCGTCGGAGGAGGACAGGCTGGTGCCCACCATGCGGGAGTGCGGGGCCGGCCGCTCCCAGCAGTGGCTGCTGCGCAACATGACCCTGGGGCCCTGAGCTGGGCACGGGCATCTCCTCCTCCTCCTCCTCCTCCTGCCCTCCCCCTGCAGAGCCCAGCCCTCTCCCAACCCCAGCGGAGCCTCGGTGCTGCAGGTCTCTCTCTTTGGCTGCTCCGAGAAGCTCCTCCGAGCCTGCGAAGGATAAAGCACGTGCTGAGGCCACACAAACGTGCTCAGAGATGGTTCCAGAGACAGCAGCCTGCAGCAGAGAGGTGTTGCTGTGTGTCACACACCCCCACAGGGAGGTGGCCCAGTGTAAAAGGCCTTGTGACACCAGTTGGCACTGGGAGCCACCCTGGCCCGTGTGTCCCGAGCTGGGGGTGATGGTGCTGGGCTCCCTTGGCGAGGCCTGCAGGATATTTGCTGATCTCTCGTGCCCACTGGGATCTGACAGCACCAAACTGAGCAGCAAAGGCACCAGGCAGAGCCAAAACCTCGTGGTTTGTGCTGGGAAAACATGGGATCTGGTGTTTGGAAAACTGGGCAAAGGCTGCACTTAAAAAAGGAGGCGACAACAGAAGACACGGGAATGTGGAGAGGAAGGAGGGACACGTGTGGTCCTTCAGACCAGCACTGAGGGAACTGTCCTCTCCAAGGGAATGGAACTGTCCTCTCCATGGGAATGGAACTGTCCTCTCCAAGGGAATGGAACTGTCCTTTCCATGGGAATGGAACTGTCCTCTCCATGGGAATGGAACGGGCTGGGGCTGGACTGGGGGCTGCAGGGGGCAGATGGAGGGACCAAAACTGCCCCTCTGGGCCCAGCAGAGCCTGGAGAGCCCCCAGCCCTGGCTGCCCTCCCCCAGCAGTGTATCCCTGTCCAGGACACAGGCCCTGGATCCCCTGCACGGAGCTGGATCCGCTCCCAGTTCTGCTTCCAGAGCCGTGCCAGAGGCTGATTTCTGTGTCCTGATGATTCTGTGGCTCAGCCCCTTTGTTGGTGTGGTCATTCCTGATGGTCCCTGGTGGGGTGTGGGGACAGGTCCTGCCCATACAGGTGACATTTCCCATCTGTACCGGGGACATTTCCTTTGGTGACCACCCAAAATCCATCTGTTGCACTCCAGGCTGGGTTTTTGGCAATAGTCTGTGGCTTCTTATTGCTCAGAGGGCTCAAGAGACTGAAATCCCAGGGCAGCGTGATCCCAGCACAGGGAAGGGGTGAAATGTTTCCCAAGATTTCACTCCCAGTTCCTCCAAAGGTCTGTAAATGCACTGGGTCATTAAAAAGGACGGTATTTTCTGTATAATGCTCTGGTTGGTCTGGATTAATTGTGTCAGATATGGATGTAATATAAACTTATAGCTCATATTTTCTTGATACACGTCAGTAAATGGAAAGCAGGAGGGTGTTAGTTGGGAAAGTGGTTGCTGTGCCTGCATGGAGCTGGAATGTCATGGAATAACTGGGATTGAAGGCTCATCTTCAGCCTCCCTGCTCAAAGGAGGGTCAAACTCATCCAGTCCTTGTCTCCAAATCACCACAAAAGTACAGAATGTGGCTTAAAAGCACCAAGAAAGGGACAGGCTGTTGTTCTGCTCCACAGAAAGAGCATGAAAGCCCCGAGATCCAATTGAAATAGTCATTTCCATGCAGAAAAAGATGAATAAATTATTAGTTCATCTCCTTCCCCAGGGCTTTGGGCTTGGGGGAAACCCCAAAAACAGGGAGAAAAGGGTATTTTTCTCCTCAGAATTACTGTGAAGGTAAATTTTATTTTTAATTTAAAGTGATCAAATTTAAACCAGTATATTGTGGCTAAGGGACGACACACTGTAAATGTCCTAAGAGAGGTTATTTTGCTCCCTACCCCCCTGTGCTGTACAGCTCAATATTTATACGGTTTTGTAGAATTAAAACCTGCTGGTTTAGTTTTCTTTGGGTGCACTCATCTTTTTCTAGATTACTTTCATCTGGTAAGGGGGTTATCTGCTAAAAACCCCCAAACTTCCACACAATAACTGCATTTTTAGGGCTTTATTTCCACGTTGAGGGGTGGAAATGGGGCAGCAGAGCTGCTGGGTGTGAGGGCTGAGAGGGGACAGGACGTGGCAAGTCAGAACAGGAGCTTCAGCTGTCCCCAGGTGGAGGTTAAAGCTCAGTTTTCCAGAACATCTTAAAGGATTTATAAACATAAATGAAAATTAATCCTCAGGAGACCAAGAGGGAGAGACCAGTTCGTGTCCTCACTGAAGTGGAAGTGATTTCTGAGAACCTTTAGCACAAATATTGATATGTAAGCATGAATTATTTCAGATTTTACTCTCAATTGCTGGACAAAATTAAGCCCTTTTGGTACAAAAAGTGACAGAGGTAAGTGTTGTGAGAGAAAATGATATGCCCTTTATCTGCATATAATAAATGATAATTATAACAAATTATGTATGTAATTATATGCACACATATATGTAATTATATATCTAACAAATTCTAAAGGTTTTTAATAACTATTTTTTAGGGTTTAGAGTTTGATAAATGTTATAATTTTATAACTTTATAGTTTATGTCTTTACATGTAGTTTTATAATTCATCCTCCTCCACTGCTACGGTGCACTTCGATCAAGTCAATCAAAAAAGTGCTAATTAATACCTCATTTGATAAGATTCCCTCCAGCCAGAGGAGCATCCTTGCTCATAAAAATACAGAGAAAACCCCCAAGTTGACTCTTTTTTTATCAAGATTTCCCTGTTTCAGGTTGTCTTTGCAGGAGCAGGTGTTGGTGTGTTTGTGCTGCAGTGGATCCCAAACACCAGATCACACACAGCTCCCAACTTCCTGCACTGATTATTGAACTGTTCTGCACAAAGACGCAATTAACTGCTGAGCTGGTGTTAATTAGGGATGAGAATCATTTATATGGATCATAAAATAATCCATTTATAAGCGATGAATGCAGACACAGAGGTATTTTCCTTTTTTTTGGGATTTCTCAGAAGTGTTTCTGATAAGGACTGATGGTGGAGTTAAATTACAGAAGGGAAACAACTCATAGCTCATTTCCCTTAAAAACTGGGTTTATGTCTAATTTTGAGGTCTGTTTAAGGGACTTAGGAAGCCAACCCCTGGATAAGCTCCATGAGGCATCACTGGAGGTCAGGAAAATCCTGGCACTGGTGCCATGACCACCCACTCCAATTCCCATTTCAAACTGGGAGGTTTTTGCAAAGGAAAATGGCAGGATCTAAAATCCATATCCAGGCAACCTCCAAGCAGTGGGACTGGATGACACGTGTCTGGGGATTGTCTCTGTTAATTCAGGTCATAAACAATCAGTTTGATCATTTTATTTCTCATCAGCTCCTCCTGTTTCCTCTCATACTGGATCAGATAAAGCCTGGAAAAGCTACCAGGTGCTGAAATTAGGGAATAGATGGAAACAGGAAAAATACCTCCAGAGGTAACAATTGCCCAGGGGAGTTTAAATGGAAGCAAACACCAACTTCTGTGTGCTGGGTGGGAAACCTCACCTGGAATGTTCAGGAATGAAGTCAGGCACATCCTGGAGGTTTGGATTTGAGAGCTCAAAAGCACAGGAAGGATGTGGAGCTGCTGGAGAGAATCCAGAGGAGGTCCTGGAGCTGCTCCCAGGGCTGGAGCCCCTCTGCTCTGGAGCCAGGCTGGGAGAGCTGGGGGGGTTCACCTGGAGAAGGATCCAGGGAGAGCTGAGAGCCCCTTGCAGGGCCTAAAGGGGCTCCAGGAGAGCTGGAGAGGGACTTGGGATAAGGGCCAAACCAGACTGGTTTGGATGGGAAGGGACCTTAAAGCCCATCCAGTGCCACCCCCTGCCATGGGCAGGGACACCTCCCACTATCCCAGGTTGCTCCAATCTGGCCTTGGACATTCCAGGGATCCAGGGGCAGCCACGGTTTCTCTGGGCAACCTCTGCCAAACCAGTCTGGGATTCTGTGCTGATTCTTATTGAACCCATTACTGACCTTATTTCCCCTTAGGAGGTTGGTTGTTGTGACCTCACAGAGCAGAGCAGGGAACAGGGATCGATCCCGCAGCGTCTGCTCCCGGTGCCAACACAAACCCGGGGGCTGCAGGAGATCAATGAGGGTCAATTTGGGGCACCCAGGGGCTCTTCCACGGGATAACTCTGTCCTGGTCCTGGAGGAAGCTGGGAAGAGCCTTGGCACGTCTCATCTAAACCTGCAAAAGTGCAGGAAAACACCCTGGATGGGGAAAAACATGCTGGGAAAAGTGCTCTTTTGATTAAAGCTATTTTGAGTGATATTTTTGCCATATTGGTCAAGACAAGTTTTTAGGGTATTTGTCATATTAAAAGTGGGTAAGAGGTAGTACTGGGCCATGCTGGAGGCTGGCTGGGAGAGTTGTGGGACACCTCTGGCACTTGGAATCATGGTCAGTGGTGGCCTTGGCAGTGCTGGGGAATGGTTGGACTCAATGGTCTTGGAGGGCTTTTCCAACCCAAATGGTTCCATGATTTGAGGATTCTCCAGGGGCTCCAGCAAAGGCTGCCTCAGCTCTGCTGCTGCCCCGGGCTCCTGCATTATCCATTTGCCAGCCAGGAGTGTCTGCCTTCCATGGTTGTGGAATTCCTGCTGGCCTCTGACACAACCATCGCTGCTCCCTGCCAGAGCCAGGGCCAGGGGACAGGGAAATGTCAGAATCCCGGAATCTCTGAGGTTGGAAAAGCCCTCCCAGCCCATGGAGTCCCCCGTGTGCCCATTCCCCACCTTGTCCCCAGCCCAGAGCACTGAGTGCCACAGCCAGGCCTTCCTGGGACACCTCCAGGGATGGGCACTCCAAACCTCCCTGGGCAGCCCCTGCCAAGGCCTGACCACCCTTTCCAGGAGGAAATTCCTGCTGATGTCCAACCTGAGCCCAGCCCATCCATGGTCACCCTGAGGTGTCCCAGGGAGCTGCTCAGGATGCAGAACGTGGTTCCTCAGCCCCGTGTCTGCCTTTGGGGTCCATTTGCTCCTAGCTAATTTGATAATTCACAGTGCAATTTTCTGTTCTGCATCCCGGGAACATTCAGCATCTCCACGTGCATTTGAATTGGAAATCCCCACATGGCTTTCCTGAGTGGCTTTGCATCCAAATTAGTCCCTCCTTGCTCTGCTGGGCACCATCCCCTCCTCCCACCCCAGGGGAAGGACTCCTGGAATCAATGGCACAGCTAATTCCTGAGGAGAAGATCGATCAGCTCGTGGTTTGGGTGGGGAAAGACTGTTCTGGGCTCTTCCTTCCTCACCCTGAGGAGAGCTGGGTTGGCTGAGAAGCAGCACAGAGGAACAGGGTCAGGGCCATCAGCAGGAGTTAGAGGTGAAGGCACAGTGAATTCCTGGATGTTCCCACTTTGTCCTGTGGCTACGGAGCAATGGGATGAGCAGGGACTTCCCTGGCTCCGGGGCTCCTGGCTGGGGGGACAGAACTCCCCCAGGGCCTTCTGGGGCAGCGTGTTCTTGTCACAGGACATTTTCTCATGTCCATCATTTCCCTTTCCACTCCCGTTATTCCCTCACCTCACCGCAGAACATGGACACTGGGAATGTGCTTGTCTGCCCAAAAGCAATTACGGTGTTGATTTTAATGTCACTAATTAGCAGGGAATGGCTCCCCTTGGACTGTTGTTGCTCTGCAACCATAACGAGATGAATAACGTGAATTCTTTGCCCAACTCCAGCCTGGAGATGGGGAAGATGCAAGACAGGCCTCTGGGAAATCTGAAGGGATGGAAGAAGGAGAAAGACTGGGAAGAAAAAGGAGAGTGGAAGCTGGTGAGGCTGGATGGCCTCTGAGCCAGGAGGGTTCTGGAACTGCTTACCCAGAATTTGGGATGAATTCCACCTGGAATTTCTTTTAATTGGGTGGGAAAAGTAACAGACATGGTTACTTTTGTGTTGCAGCAAGGAAAGTGAGGTGGGGAACAGGAGAGATTGGATGGGAATAGAAAATAGCAAAGTGAGACTCATCTTGGGAAAACTGAATTCATTTTCCAACAAAATTAAAAAATAGCGTGAAGCAGAAATGCAGTGGCAGGAAAAATCCTCAGAAACCAACTCTGAGGAAGGTGAAGGGATAATGGTGAGAAAATGAGGTGTGCTTGGGTTTATTGCACAAGTGAAAGCCGACAATCCCCATTTTCCCTGGACACTCCTTGGCACATGGTCGTGGGTGGCACGGGTGGGCAGCGGCCCTGGAGCAGCAGGAGGAGGAGCAGGTGAGGAGTGAAGGGCCCTGGGATCAGTGTGACCCTTCGGAGCATCACCAGGACCCT